CTAGTTCTTTCATAGCCACAGTCTTCTTCTGATTTCCTGACTGCAGTCTCAATTTCTATCAATGTTGGATCCCAGGTATGGGAATTCTTTTACTATTTCTATTTCTATATATGCAACTAAGTCCTTGGAAATCCTCTTGGCCTTGGAAACCCAGTGGGTGACCTGGGGCAAATCACACTCTCTAAGCCTCCAAGGAAGGCCAAAGGGAACTTATTGCAGGGTTTTCTGGGGCTGAGAGTATGTGACTCACCTAAGTGGGTTTCCATGGCTGAGGGGGAAATTGAACCCTGGTATCAATCCAGAGATATCCCTAGAAGACAAGAGGACGAGACTTAGACTGTCGTACTTTGGACACATCATGAGAAGGCATGAATTGTTGGAAAAGATAATAATGTTAGGAAAGGTGGAGAGAAGTAGAAAGAGAGGAAGGCCACATGCTAGATGGATGGACTTTATTAAAGAGACCATGAATATGAGTTTGCAGGAATTAAGCAGAGCAGGAGAGGACAGGGGGACCTCGAGATTTCTCATCTATAGGATCGGCATAGGTCAAGATTCACGCGAAGGCAGTGAACAACAACAAATATTCCAGGACTGTAGTTCAACGTTCAAACCACTATACTGGCTCTTACATATGTTATGTGCCTTCAAGTCTATGATATGTTTTTCTTGGCAAGATTTGTTTAGAAGGGGTTTGTCATTGCCTTCCCCTGAGGCTGAGAGTGTGTGACTTTCCCAAGGTCACACAGTTTGTTTCATTGCCGAGCAGGGATTTGAACTCTGGTCTCCAGAGTTGTAGTGAAACACCCAAACCACTACCTTTAAATGTATTTTAAAATTGTTTGCTACTGTATGCTTTTAATAGAATCAACATTTGTTTGTAAAACAACCTTTGTAATACCACATTTTTAAGCTAAACTTTTATTTTAAATTTTGTAAGCCAGCTTGAGTCCCTTGGCAGGAGAAAAGTGGGAGATAAATTGAATGAATGAATGAATGAATGAATATAACTGGGACAAATGGCATTAAAAGCATCAATAAGATAAAAGTAAAAGTATGCACAAAATTATTACGTAGAGATGATCTTGTTTTAGCTTGTCAGATTGTTTAATATGCTTTTTAATTCATTCAAATTATTTGCTTATTTTTACATTTTACATTGGTTAAATTGCTTTTATATTACGCTGCCCTGAGATACAGTGAGATGAGGCAGGCAATAAATATTTTAGTACAATAAAAATAAATGGAATGTGCGCACACATACACACACTAATGCATTTGGGAACATTGTCTATTCAGGCAAGAAGACCTCAATGAATATTTTTTCCTCTTATTCAATTTGCAGTATTTCTTCTGGCCACTTGATGTCAGACGTTTAACATCAGAATAAGCTACGACTTTCTGAAAGTTGCTATTGGGTGGCATTTAGGCAACACAATGCAAACTGCATACCCACCAACATTTCACAAATTAAAAATGGGACACGTGTGGCCAAATAACCTCAGAATGTGATCAAGATGGCAAAAGTTTTTACGAGGAAAAACACGCAAACTAGGAGAGGCTGCAGCAGTTTGCTTTTGCCTGAACCTACTGGGAAGGGCATTCAGTTTGAAGCAGTTGAAAGTAAACTGAGGACAAAAGGGGGAGGAGGAGAGAGAAACTGGGACATTTTAAAATCAACTGAACAAGTGAGAAGAGAGAGGATTAATTGGCCTGTCACTGCCAAATTGGAACAGTTGGAGGGTATGAGGCTGATCTATAAGTATGTGCAGAAACCATTGCTGTTTGAACCAATGTGCATTGATATCAAGAATATTACGGCTCAGTTGGAAGACAAGGAGGCAGTCCTAGTAGGCACTAAATCTTTCAATTTCCATTCAGTACCATTTGGATGCTTTCTGAGTCTGGATGCAGTCTGAAGAAGGTTGTGTTTGTGTTGTGTGCCTTCAAGTCGTTTCCAACTTATGTTAACCCTAAGGTGAACTTATCATGGGGTTTTCTTGGCAAGAGTTGTTGCCATTGCCTTCCCCTGAGGCTGAGAGAATGTGACTTGCCCAAGGTCGCTCAGTGGATTTCATGGCTGAGCTGATCTCCAGAGCTGCAGTCCAAACTTCAAACCACCTATGCCACACTAGGAGGCCAAAATAATTTTACTTGGTGTGTGTGTGTATCTTCAAGTCACCTGCTGATTTATGTTAACTCCATGAATTCTATAGTGTTTTCTTAGGCATGGAAGACTCAGAGCTGGTTTTACCCATTCCTTCCTTTGAAATATAGCCCACAGCACCTGGTATTCATGGCTGGTCTCCCACCCAAGTACTAACCAGGGCTAACCCTGCTTAGCCTCCAAGATTAGGCTGGATCTGGAGCTTCTAAGATATGTATTCTCCTCAAAATTGCTTGCAGCAGAGTGTTTTTTGGGGCTGTTACAGATTTGCAGGTACTCATGAGGATTAGGAGCTTTCTGAGCTGTCCAAAGAACATGACTTCTTTGCTGTGCACCTTCAAGTCATTTCTGACTTATGGCAACCCTAAGGCAAACTGTCACAGGCTTTTCTTGGCAAGATTTGCCATTGCCTTCCTCTGAGGCTGAGAGAGTGGCTCTTGCCCAAGGTCATCCAATGGATTTCCATGGATGAGCAACTATACGAACCCTGGTCTTCTCCATGCCCTAGCTCACTGGTCCCCAAACTTTGGTCCTCCTGGTGTTTTGGACAGCCAAAAGCCCCAGCCAGCTGGGCAAATAGTCAGGAATTCTGAGAGCTAAAGTCCAAAACATCTGGAAGACCAAAGTTTGGGAATCACTGTCCAACACTCAAACCACTACATCATGCTGCCTCTCAGGATTTAGTCACAACGCTATGGCTGGAGGGTCACTGTTAAGAGAGCTGCTCTCAGGACCGATATCATCTCTTTTGTAGCAATTGGGTGGTCCACTCGCTTTCTCCATCAGTACGTCATGAACACCAGAGCATGGAAAAGTTACTTTTTGGACCACAACCGTGTGTGCATGTGTGTGTATGTGTGATGCTGGCAATTCCCCAGGACTTCAACATGGTGAGTGGGGAGGCTGAACCTCCCTCTAAGTCTGCTGCTATTCTGATTCTTCCCAGCAGCTGTTGACAGCATAAGGGAGACTGGGGAAAAAAGAATAATTTCTTACTGTTAATGTCACATTTTGTTTGGTCCTGAACCATGTCTCTTTGTTTCTCCTTGGCTGATGCAGGGATATGAATAATTGAATACCGAAATATTGCACTCAAGGTGAGATTGAGCACGCACAGGTCGGCTGGTGAGGTCTGGGGCCCTTCGAACATGTGCATAGCACCTTTCTTGACAGTCATCCCCTCACATTCATGGGG